CTTTCTCATTTCCAAACAAATATTTTGCGAAGGAAATGAATTCACGTTATCTAAGAGTCATGAAACTAAAAACAATAACAATATGACAAATATCAATGATATTTTCGTAGAGGTGTTTCATTTATCATATACTTTTTTTCATATACCACAGATTTTACGTATGTTTTATTAAAACATTGATAAATGCACCACTTATATATAAAAATGCTGTCGTATTTTGTTGTTGCATGTTGCTACATCTACATATTTGCTATCTACCAAATTAATATGTTAGTTAAAAGCGCATTGCTAAATCGCATAAAAACACCCGTCGGTGATAACCGTCACTCAATATTTTTGGATAGGTATGTTATAAAAAATAATATAAATTTGAAAAGCATGAGAGCTATAGCAATCGTAATCCTCCATAAATATTTGTCGGGTTTGATTGATTACTATCCCCTTTCTTACATAATTCTATATTTTACAATATTACTAATCCTCTTTCTTACTTAAAATATAGTTTTCTACAAGTTTTATCGAAGTAGGAAAAAAGATATAACTTTTGTAAGTTGTTTTCTTTGTTTAACTAATCACTAGGACTTCCGATCATGCATATCATACATCGATAATGATAGATTATCAAGTTTCTATCCTCATTCCAAGATTATATTAATGAGATTTTTTCTTTCTTTCTTTTCAATGTCGAATAAAACAAAAAAAAATTGAATTTTTTATTAAATGCAAAAAAAAAAAAATGGAGGCTCGAGGTGAAGCAGAAGAGCTGGCAACAGCTCTCGACTGACTGATTACGTACTCTTTATTCTCACTCACTCTTTTTGTTGTCTTTCTTTGAGACAGCTTTCATTTATTTTTATTTTTATTTTTAAAACTTTCACTTGTGAGATATTTCTATCCAAAGATTTGTTTATCTCTAGGTTAGTCGGGGTTGAGTTAGGTATTTAATCCTATTTTTGCGTGTGTTAAAAACGAGATTACAATACTTGAGAATGATTTGGGTAAAATATTACTTAATCCAATATGTCATAAGATCCTTACAACGTTTATGATGCCTTTTAGACTAATTGATGATGTTTTATGAGCACCAACATGGTCTAAAAAGTTGGGTTTACTACTGCACAAATGAATCCTAATGAGATTCAATCGATACTTCTTATCTTCAATTTAACCATTTCTTGTAGTGAAATATATTTGTGGAAAAGAGCAAAAATATGGATATTATATTTTGCTACATAATTTTGAAAACCATATCCTATATAGCCTATATATATACATATCCCCTCCTCCATAAACCCATCTCACACAAAACTCTCATCTTCTTTAGTTTCCAATCTTATTCTAAAACACACCCCACACAACTTTCATTTCTATCATCCAAACCCCCAAATGGGTCCATGCTCGAGCCTCACCACCGTCGAGGTGGCTATTCTGCTAGTCACGATGTTCAGTTCTGCCTACTCAAGCAACTTCTTCGACGAGTTTGACCTCACGTGGGGTGACCATAGGGGAAAAATATTTAACAAAGGAAACATGTTGTCTTTGTCTCTAGACCGAGTTTCCGGGTCGGGTTTCAAGTCCAAGAAAGAGTATTTGTTCGGACGGATCGATATGCAGCTAAAACTCGTCGCTGGAAACTCCGCCGGAACCGTCACTGCTTACTACGTACGTTCTCAAACTCACTTAAAATGTTACTTAAACTTGAAGAGTCATGTCTTTCTAAAATTTGTCTAATTTTTTTTTTTTTTTTGTAGTTGTCGTCACAAGGAGCAACACATGATGAAATAGATTTTGAGTTTCTTGGTAACGAAACAGGAAAGCCTTATGTTCTTCACACCAATGTCTTTGCTCAAGGGAAAGGAAACAGAGAACAACAGTTTTATCTCTGGTTCGATCCAACCAAAAACTTCCACACTTACTCCATTGTTTGGAGACCCCAACACATCATGTAATGATTCATCAATCTTTAACAATACTTTAGTTTTTAAATGCAACAAAGATCTTGACTTTTTGTCTCTCTATGCAGATTCTTGGTGGACAATTTACCCATTAGAGTGTTCAACAATGTAGAGAAGCTTGGTGTTCCTTTCCCAAAGAACCAACCCATGAGGATCTACTCTAGTCTCTGGAATGCAGATGATTGGGCCACGAGAGGTGGTCTGGTCAAGACTGACTGGTCCAAGGCTCCTTTCACAGCTTACTACAGAGGATTCAACGCCGTGGCTTGCACTGTTTCTTCAGGCTGTGACCCCAAATTCAAGAGTTCTTTGACTTCTTTCAGTGATGGTAAATTGCAAGTGGCAAATGAGCTCAATGCTTATGGTAGGAGGAGACTTAGATGGGTGCAGAAATACTTTATGATCTATAATTATTGTTCTGATCTCAAAAGGTTCCCTAAAGGATTCCCTCCTGAGTGCAAGAGGTCCAGAGTCTGATGAAAACATCTAAAATCCCATAATGATTCTCTGCTTGTTTTTATGCAATTCTTCTCTCTGATTTTTAAGATTGGTTTCTTTCCTCTGTTATTGTTCCATTGTACATTCTCAAGGTCAATAATTTTTTTTTTTCCTGCTTTATAAAGAAATGAATCAAACCATTCAAATTAAAGACACAAAGATCACAACACAACACATGTGTAGTAACATTTAACACTCCTCTCTTGTAATATGCAACTTACTAAGAGACTGGTCACTCATGACTCAGGGGTTTACTTTGATGATCACATGGAATACAAAAAGTAGGTCCTCTGAATTGGTATATAGGGGATCACAAACTATCACCATTTCGTTAACCAGGCCATGACATAGGATCTGTAGTTTTTTTAATGTCATAATTCTCAATCTAATAAACTTCTAACTATATGGTATATTAAAAAAATACTAGATGAAGCAATGTGGAGCGTCTATGACCAATCGACTTAAGCAAATCTAGCATCAGCAACTGCCTCCCATGTAATAAGCTGCACCACGCATAGGAGGATCTTGATCCAATGCCACACTCTAAAAAGCCTTTCTGAGACAAATACCATGCCTTATAAATGCGAGCTAATGAGTTAGGATCGTTTGATACACCCTAATTCTTGGCTAAGCTTAATTACTAATTATACACTTTACCAAAAAGTCCATATGCTGGAAATTTTAGTTAAATGTTTATTTTGATGTCTATCAATATTCTCACTGACTCACATTGGTACATGCATGTAAGTAAATAATATATCAAATATGTAGAGTCCCTAGTCGATTAAAAGTTGTGTTGCCATTATGCGTCATCGTAGCCTATGTAATAGGGTTGTTGTCCAATCTATAGTAAACCAATTCAATTTCTCATTAAAATAATGTAACTCATGACGCGGGCGGATCCATGATTTTTTCAGTGGGGCACAATACTAAACTGATTACATTGTAAACAACATTTGTGAGTTTTTTTGAGGAAAAAGCTTTAATTCATAGTTCAATTTGATAATAAGATCCTACATGTTTATCCAAAAATCAAAAATATAGGTCAAACTTACTTCTGAACTAAATTCGTACATTTAATTGAATGATCAAAATCTTCATTCAGACTCTTGCTCCTCCAAAAATAATTTTTTAGTAATCAAGAGTTGACTTTCTTAAGATTGAATGGTGTTTTAATCATTTGTATACCCTCAAATGTATATCTTTAGATCTCTCACAATCAATCATAAATACGCATTTTATCCTTGTTGGGATTTGTTCCACATATGTATCCATGATATAGTCTTGATTGTTGCAAAACGTTTGCAACATTTGCAATATATAGGATTGCAATAGTACTTAGATCTGGAATAGTAATTTTCTAGGTTACAAAGATTAACAATACTACTCAAGATCTAAAATAGCAATATTCTTGGTTAGTCAAATGCATCTATATGTTGCAGACTGGCACTTACTGAACCGGGTCAAGAGGTATATGAACTTGAAGATCATCAACCTGATGAAGCACTTAGTGAATTGGCTGAAAAGGTACATCAATAGGAAGACGGAGTGGTGGCTGATGGTGGTGAAGATGCTACATCAATCGGAAGACGGAGTGGTGGCTGATGGTGGTGAAGATGCTATCTGCCAAGTAGATGATATTTTAGTATTAAATCCGATTAAGTGAATTTGCCATTAGAGCCATTAAGTGACCCTGAGAGATTATATTTTAGTATTGTGATGCGACTAAGTGAATCTGCATCTGGTTAAGATATTGTATGGAAAAACTTATGAGTTAAAAAAAAAAACTTGTTGCAAACCTCTTTGATACAATATTTGTCTTCAGGTAGTTGAATATTTATCAACAAGTATTAGGAAAATTTTCTCCTGATTTGTGCCTTCATATTTCTTCCACTGAAACAAAGTGAGAAATAACTGGAATAGAACTAGGTTGCTTCCATGTGTTGTTATATCGCACGAGCTTGTGACTATGTTCCCACATAAATATCTAGACGACTAAGTAAAATAACACCATAACAAAATCTGGTATTATCATTCATTGGTTTAAAGTTAATATATACTAAGTATAATCTGAGAACTCACAAGTTAGGACACTGTTGAAAAACCTCAATCCAGTTCCACCAAGACTGACATATTCGAAATTGTAATTCTTCAAGTTGAGAGAAGCTTACTAAAAAAATTCATCACATATTACCACTCTTCTCATTACGCAAACACAAAGATAACCTTTGTGCGGACTGTAGACAGCTTAGAAGTTAGTTTCCTCTCTTTCCATCAATTAGTTGGATGGCTAGCTGCATTCACCATTAATGTTATATATGCGATGTCAACAAGATGACACTGAAATTCTATATGCAGCTTAATTGTTTGAGGAACCACTAGTGCTAGAAGAATGTAAGCGGTGTCTTGGATGCATTCACTTTTTCTAATCGAGACAGCTTGCAACATTAGAACTGAAATTACATAACTTCTATTGGAAGACAATCCTATCAGAAATTCGAGAGGATTTCTAGATGTGGCATAAGTTTCAAAATCCTAAAAAAAATAGTGTTACCCAGAGACAACCCTATTGCTCTAAACGCTTTAAGCTTGAGCAACTAGAGCAATAGATAAATGTCAGTTTCATAGTCAGAAGAGCCTTTTAACCCAACTACAGTGAGTGATTCACACGTCAAAATTCCACAAGGTATTTTAAAAAGAGATGTAATAATTGATGCAATATTTTTATATTGAATCTTATACCTATATGTTCATGTTCCTCTACATGGATCCTCTATCTCAAAACTAAACGACCACACCCAAAACTCGTCCCTATCTACGTGACTAGTCATTGCCAATATACTCACATATGTAAGGGAAATGCATGTAGCATCAATTAATTCCACCATACTCTAGAATCAAGTCTTGTACCTCCAAATTAAGATAAAAAGCAGGTTCTTCGATACACGAGGATCACCATCCATCACCTACTTCAACCATATCAATATGAAGTTGTCTATCACCATTCGACTTAAGCAAGCCCCGCTTCACCTATTCCCTCACATGTAATAAGCTACGCCATACATAAAGGGATCTTGATGTAACGTCACACTCCGGAAAGCTTTTCCGAGAAAAATACCATGCCTTATAAATGGGAGCTAAAGTTAAGATCATTTTATACATGGCGAGCTTTATTAGCAAGTAAAGCTTGATTAATACACTTTACCAAATGTTCATATATACTAGAA